TCCGCTTTCTTTTTAGCCACTCCCGCCGGCAATTTTGTGCCCTTCTTTGGAAGTACTCCAACGGGTGCTTTGAATACGGAGTTTTCATGGGCTTCGACGCCGGATCGTCTGAGTCCTCCACACCCAAGATTTTTCCTTCCTCTAGCTTCGATTCCTCTCCTACTCCGTCGTCAATTTTGTTAATTGTTAATGATTTCTCCGCATCCTCTTTGGGGTGATTGGTTTCTCCAATTTGTTCAATTATTTTTACTTTCTTGACCAATAGACATTGGATCAATAAAACTGACGGAATAAAACTGACGGTCCGATAAAACAAGAAATTCCCGTTAGATTTTCTGTTAAAAAGAGATATTCCGTTTCATAGCCACTTTTAGTATATAGAAGATATTTAAGATGTATTTTGTACGCGTAATAATAAATTTATTGAGACAGTATTGTCGATTAAAAGTTACAACACTACCCTATAAGTAAAGATATTTGTCGTAACACAATGATAAGTAAATAAATACAAAATAAATTTTGTGAACTAAGTGTCGAGAAAAGTAGTTAGGAAGGCAAAATAGCACTGAGTACGAAGATGGCCCTTTTGAAATAAATTGCAGACTTTTAAGCCATTGCAAGTTTTTTTTTTCAGAAGTTGATAAAAAAAAGTAATTATTTTGAATTCATCTTTTGATTATAAGAGTAAAGTAACGTTTTATTAGTGAATCATATTGAAAACTTATTTTCTTTTTCCTTTTTATCATAACAGTTGAGTTAATTTCACCGATGGTAACTAAAGTTTAAGCAAAACTTTTTGTAGTTTTGTTATACAAATAGTCATCAAAGTTAAATAATGTTATATACACTCTATTATTCCAACTTATGTGATATTCGATGTAGAACTCATTAAATCTTCAATGGACTAACGGCCGTTAAAAGGATCTATCCATCCTCATATTTATCAGTGTCACAATGTTTTTACTGTTTGTTAATGATAAAATACATGATTAGGGATTACGGGTATTGTTTGAGTTATGTAACTGAAGGTGAGATTTTTTCTCTCATATTTATCGCATTTTATTTTGAATATATGTAATTTCACAACATGAATACAATATCCGTTAGTCAATATCGAGATTTTATGGTTCAAAGTCAGACTTGGAGTGGACGTTGCTAAAAGAATGACCAATTATGTGACACTATTTAATTATAGTGACTGAATGATCATAAAATACTTTAATAACTTAATTGAAATTTCACAATTTTCACTTAAACCTCAGAAATCATTTGTGAAATTAACAGTTAAAAACTGAATAGATTAAGAAAAAAAAAAGGTTCAACCATAAGAGTATCTCCAAGAGAATTTTAAAAAGGTGATATGTTATTTATTTTAAAATTTCAAATATTGAAATTTTTCGATAGACTCTTTATTTTTACTTTTTAAAATAAAATGTTGGTTTAGCTATCTATAGTTTGAGAGTCAAATTCACATCTTATTTTTATTTTTTTGAATTGCAATTCATTAATCAACAAAGTCGCAAGAAGCGGATACAAAGAGGAAAAATCCTCCAACACAAAGCCCTCCAAAGAGAGATAAACGGGCATCCAATGCGAAAACAGTCTACAACAAAGTTACAATTGTGACTAACAAACAGGCGAACCCGACTAGCCAACGCATTCAGCAGTATGGCACCCTCGCACACACAATGATGGACATTGTCTAAACTTAAATCTCTCAAAAAAGAGAGAACACAAAACTGTAGACTGAAACAACCCAAAAAAACACAAACCAAGAAAACTACACTAACAAAACAACCAAAAACACACAAAACACCACCACCAACAACATCTTATTTTTATTTTATGATTGCATTAAGTAATGTGCAACTTTCAATGCTCCACTACTTAAAATTTTCATATTATATTGACTATTTTAACTATTGACATCTAAAAAGATATAGTGATAATTATAGCAAAAGTTCCAAACCTTTGAAATATTAGCAAATTTTTCTTAAATCTTTCATTTGTTGTACCTTTCGCTCCTAACATTTCTAATCATTGCATAAGAGGACCTTTTGGATGGTTTACATCCATTTTTTCGTCAGTTGACCACTAAAATTAAATTTGACAATATTTTATTCAATTTTAAAAGGGTAAAATGGTAACTATCTATTTACTACATTAAACAATCAAAAAACTTAAATAAAAATTTAAAAATAAATAAAAGAAAAATATAAAAGTCTCTTTTCTTTACCCCACACGACCCGACCCAAAAATCAAAATCACACAATCGTCTTCAACCATTGGGGTCGACATCGACGTCACCTCCACTACAAATCGCCGACGACACCCTTTCCGGCTACACCCATGCTGACTACAACCCCCTTTCTGGCTAACACCCATGTTGGCAACAAGCCACGAATTCAATTGAAAAAAATGGAATTCAAGTCCCAACAACTATGCAAAACACACCAATTGAATTCTCAATTCGCGACCCACATATGGATTCAAATAATCCCAATAAGCCTGAAGCCAACATTTGAAGTTTGATAATGCACAAACTTCTCACCGAATTCCCACTCAAAAACAAATTTATATAGAGATTTAAGGTAGCGGGAGAGAGAGGGTAGACAATTGAACGTGAGGACTTTGATGAGGAAAGTGAAATTTGGGGCAGGATTTGAAATTGAAACCGTGCCACCAGAGATGGTGGTTGTAACCTCTTCTGTTTCAATTTTTTGGTTCTTCTTAGGCGAGTCTCTGGAATTTGAAGGTTCGACCCCTATATTAGTCTGGTATGGAACAAGTGACGATGATCTCGCAAGTGGAGCTCTGGGTTGAGAAGCCGATTTCCGTTGGCACCGATGGTGAGAGACGGTGGGGTGATTTTGTGGTTGGGTATGAGTTCGTGGGGTGGAGGGTGGGTAAAGAAGAAATATTTATTTTATTTTATTTTAATTTTTTATTCAATTACTCTTTTATTTAATTATTTTAATAGATATTTACCATTTTGTCCATTTTAATTTATTAAAATATGGTCAAACTTAATTTTGATGGTCAATTGACGAAAAAATAGATGGAAACCATCAAAATGACCTCACATGCAATTGTTGGAAATATTAGGAGTGACGTGTACAACAAACGAAAAGTTTGGAAAAAGTCTGTTAGTATTTTAAAAGTTTGGGCTTTTGTTGCAATTATCTTAAAGATAAAATTTATTTATAAAATAATAAATGATTTTTAATAAAATAAAAAAAATGTTGTTGAAGTACATAAAAAATTAATTTAAAATATTTATTTGCCCCCATTTATCTACCGTTCTCCAAAAACAAACTTAACTCCAAAAAAAAAAAAAAAAACTTTTTTTTATAGGCATTAAACTGATCAAGATGCTCTTCAAAGAGATATTTTAAGGGAAAAATTCATTTATCCTACTTCATCTTTACCCTATTTCAAAAATAACAAAACAACTTTCACATTTCAAAAATCAGATTTTTTGACCTATACATACACATATTTATAAATATTTATTTATATATTTAAATAT